GGCGTCCACGAATTGAAGAAGAACAACCGGATTTACTAAAAACTATTTGTGACATTGCTCTTTACGGTTCAGCAGCTCATGAAAAAAGAAGAGTAAATAATAACTACGTAAATAACAACTTCAGGTAAAAAAAACGGCATAGAGTAGGTAAGATAGTGGTTTATCAAACATCTTTTTGTACAGTTATTTTTCATGATTTAAATAATTTGAAGGATGTGCAAAATTAAATATATTTTTTCATGAACAAAAATATAATTTATATCTTAACATATTAACACATTAACTTTTTGACCAATTAAGCCACAATTCTTGGTTATTTAACTGTTTAATAAAACGTAGACTGAATCAAACGTAAAAATATTCCAGTCTGAACGACACTTAGTTTTAATAGTGTAAGATAACAACTTTTTTATATATACTCATATATATGCTGGCTTATGTATGCTGGTTTATATTTACAAATTTCTAAAAAAAATTAAAAACAAAAATAATATTATTTTAAGTAGTTTTTAACTTTTTCGTAATTCTAAATAGATAAATGGAGTATTTATAAAGTGACTTCAAATTTCTTTTTTTTTTTTTTTTTGACTTTTTATTACAATTCTTGGACAAATTTGTTTTTGGATAAAATTTTCAAATATATTAAAAAAAAAAAAAAAAAATTACAAATGAAGATTTCGTTTTACAAAATTAAAAAAAAAATAATAATAATAATAAAGTTTATTATGTCTTCTTTTGCAAAGCGACATCTTCATTTGAATTTTTAAGAAGTTTCAAGCTTAAAAACTTTAGTTTTTAACTTAAAAATTCAAATGAATTCGAAAAAACTTGAAACTTCTTAAAATAAAAAAGAAGTTTATCAAAGCTTAAAAAACATGTTTTCAAAGATGCCATCTAACCATGGCCTTCTAGAAATACAGGCCTTGACACCGCGATAAAATATTTTTTGACTGGAGGCCGATTCTATATGGAAAGATTTTCATAGAATAAAACATTTTTGTATTATACTTAACAGCGATTGGTCTAAACACAAATTTTAAGCGACTTTGTAGCGTTAATTAGTCAGCAACGAAACAAATTAGCAGTTAAAAGTTTATCTCTTTGCAAACTGCAACAAATTTATCAAACAAAAATTTATCAATTATGCCTCGAAAATGTTGTGTTCCATGCTGTAATAGTGGTTATGCTTCATCAACTATAAAGGTGTCCACTTATCGATTTCCTTGTGATGAATATGAAAAAGAAAAGTGGATAAAAGCTATCCCAAGAAAAAATCTGATTGTAAATAAATACACTGTGGTGTGCCGACTTCATTGGCCTATAGATTGCAAATCTTTTACATTGTATCGTGGAAAAGAACGTCCTACAGAACCACCAACTGTCTTTTCTAACATACCAGCTAGCTGTCTTAGTTTACCTACTTCTAAACCCAGAACAACAAAATTGTCATCGTCCAGTATAAGAAATACAAAATCAGACGAACTAGATAGCTTTAGAGAACATAATTTTTTTCGATTTGATAGCATAAAAGAAAGACTCTTGCGTAGTAATGATCTTATTGTATACAACATAAATGACAATAATGATGTTGTTTACATTCAGTCAAAAGAATTTGTTGGGGTATTCCAAAGTTTTTAGTTATCATTAATAAGGATTTAACATTAACTTCGTTTCATCTTGGATCATCTTGCAGTATTCCAATTTTAATATCAAGTAAGACATCATGTTGTAAGTATTGGTCAGTTTTTGATGAAATCATACGTTACTTAAAAAATAAAGATATTTGTCATAAAAAAAATGTATTACTCGAACATATGAACGGTATGTCTCAAAAAAAAGTTGGTGAATTTATTTACTCTCCTGATATAATTACTCGAGCATTTGAATATTTTGCTATATCCAGGTCTCTGTATAGCCAAATTTATAACGACTATAAATTACCCAGTATTAGAACTTTGACAAGAATCACTTCAAAAGTCGGATCACAAGATAGTCTGGAATTTTTGAAAAATGTTATGATGAGTATTGAAAATACACAACGTAAATGTATATTGCTGATTGATGAAGTTTATATTAAATCCAAATTAACTTATCATGGAGGTGTATTATTTGGAAATTCTGCTGATCAACCCGGTGTCCTTGCCAAAACCATGTTGGCTTTAATGGTAAAATGTTTATTTGGTGGACCAGAGTTTTTAGTAAAAATGATTCCAATTAGTCACTTAGATTCTGATTTTCTTTATAAACAATGCAAACCAATTATTGAAACAATTAACAATCAACCAAATGCAAAACTGTTGTCAATTATTACTGATGGAAATAGAGTAAATCAAAAGTTTTTTAAAATGATGAATAAAATTGAAGAAAAACCTTGGTGCGGTGATAATGAAAACACATTTTTGTTGTTTGATTATGTTCATGTCATGAAGTGTGTTCGTAATAATTGGTTAACTGAAAAAAGCGGAGAACTAGTTTTTGAGTTTGAAGGTAACAAACATGTAGCAAAATGGAGTGATTTAGTAAATCTTTATGAGTTGGAGTCTGCCAATCTTTTAAAACTTAGCAAATTAAATGAAATTTCCATCTCTCCAAAACCAATTGAGCGACAGAAAGTTGAGACTTGTTTACGAGTTTTCTGTGATGAAACGGTTGCTGCACTTAAAAATCATCCATCCATTAAAAAAGATGAAGTTATTGGCACCATCAAATTTATTTCTATATTTGTGAAGTTTTGGAAAATTTGTAATGTGAAAGGTGTTGGAGCAGATATTCGTTATAAAGATGAGTACCGTGGAGTTATAAGATCACACACAGACAAAAGCCTCCTATTCTTATTAGATGTGGCAGATATGGTTGAAAAAATGAAAAAATCAGGCGCAAAACGTATTAAGCAGTTTACAAAAGATACCTCTGAATGTATTTCTCATGTGTGTAGGGGGTTAGTCGACATTGCAAGATATCTTTTGGATTGTGGAAATGATTATGCTATCCTGGGGTGGTTCACAACTGATCCATTAGAGAAAACTTTTAGTAAGCTTCGTCAGGGTTCTGGAGGAACCTATTTTATTACTGCTCAATCTGTCATAGAAAAAAGTTAGAATCCAACATGCAAAACTTTCTTTACAGTTAGAAATAGATAGTTTTGATGATTGTACCAATGGTCATTCCTGTAAGAACTGTTTTCGAAATTTAAATGAGCAGGAGTGCGAAATTTTTGATAACTTCCCAGAACTCGAGGATAAAGTTCAAGCAGAATCATTACTTTCAATTATATATATTGGTGGTTATGTTCAAAGAAAAAATGGCTATGATCAAACTGATACACAATTTTATTATAAAAAATGTGGTGCCTACATTGATGACTTGAATAGAGGAGGTCTTGTTATTCCCTTTGACAATATTGTTCAATGGTGCATATTTTGTTTTATTTTATTTGAGCAGTTATCAGATGAATTTTGTCGAACATTTTTGATGAAGCAATTCTTATCAGTATCAAACAAGTTTCAATTTGGAATTAATGACCGTCATTGTCGCACTTTAGCAAATATATTTCTTAAAAATCTAGCAATAATAAAATCTCCAAGATGCTCCAAGGAGTCCAAGCAGAAAGTTTTAAAATTGTCATGAAAATGAGTTTTTATTTAAATTTTATTATATTATATAAGAAATATATTATAGTTTATTAACTTTATTGTAGTTTTACTTTTAAGACAGCTCTTATTTCTTGTTATTGTTATAGTTTTTTGCTCTCCTTGTCCGCATCCACTTTACTTATTAGCGCTTCGCTCGGCCTCCAGTCAATAAAAATTTCGGCGCGTTGTCAAGGCCTGTATTTCTAGAAGGCCATGCATCTAACAAAAACGTTTTTTCAAAGATGTCATCAAACAGAAACGTTTTTTCGAAGATGTCATCAAACACAAAATGTTTTTTCAAAGATACCATCAAACAAATATATATATATATATATATATATATATATATATATATATATATATATATATATATATATATATATATATATATATATTATATATATATATATATTTATATATATATATATAATTCTGTTTTTACATTTATTTATTTGTTAAATAGATATTTCTTATATATATATTATACTTTTTATTCAAATGATGTTGAAGTTTAAATAGAACGAGAAATACACCAACTTACTTCATTTAAAACTCTAGTATGTAAAAATTAAAACTTAAAACTTAACAGAGAAATATTAACATACACATAAATCTTATACAAACAATTGTATATCGAACAAATTATAAAACGGTAAATAATTAAAAATATAAATAAAAATAACACAACAAATCAAATAAATTTTAGATTGATAAATTTTTCTATACAAGATATTTGTTGTTTAGTGAAAGATTTTAAGATTTAATACAAATTCTTTACATTATATTTTTTTCTTACATTTTCTTATATTTTCCATTTTGGTTTCTTATATTTTCCATTTTGGTAGGGGAAAAGTATTATAATCGTTTTGGTAGATGTAGGGTATCATCAATTCTAAACAATCATAATTAAATTAGAATTAATGTCAATAATGTTTATAAACAGTTTGTTTGTCACTTGTTTGAAAGTTTCTTCTATATAAGCGATTAGATGCAAATTTGTAGACAACACAAGACGGAAGCAGTTTGGAAAGCGGATTTTTTATGCAAAAATACTGTAACCTGTTACATTCAAAAATAAATGATTACATTTTTACAATAATTTTTGAATATTTTTTTGAATAATTTTTACAATAATGACTTTGAGTGAAACCTAATATATATAAGGTAAAAGATTTTTATCTTGTTACCTATAACGATAAAAGTTAGAGCATAAAACGCAAAGAAAAATTGTTTGAGAATAGTTTCCAGGCATATAAAAACGCTTGCAAAAACCTTCAAAAGAGCGTAGTTAATAAAAGCCAGAAAAAATTTAAAAATAATATGACCTGGACATCTTCAATATTTTTCATTAATTGAGTTTTAAAAAATTTATAAAACTCTAAAATAAAAAGCTCAAAAATAATCAAATACTCCGAAATAAAATTACTTCGCAAATTTTTTTTTTTAAAAAAAGAAAAATTATTAATGTGAATAAAAATTGAAAATAAAAGGCTGCTATATTTTACAACACTTCAACACATCATAATTTGACATTAGGTGATCTTCAATTGATTTTCAGATCTTAGATATATCATAATCTTTAAATGTTAAACTTTTAATGTTTATTTATTCTAGAGAAGTTTAGCGTAATAAAAATACAACCTTTGAAACTTTCGTTCCAGCTTATGGTGCATTAGTAGGAAAATCCTATAAAAAAAAAAAAAAAAAAAAAAAAAACGTGACGCACACTAAAGGCCGTTTTCCACAAGCGAAATATTCGCGCGAAGCAAATTTTTTCGGTATGACGAAACGCTGCTCAGTGACTCAAAACAAAAACAAAAATGGAAATAAACCCCTCACCACTTTTTTATAAATTAAGTGTTAGATAATATTAAAAGACAATAATTTTTTATTTCAAAAGTAAAAATAATTTTTTCATAAAGCTTTTATTTTGTATTTTATAGGTAAAAAAAGTGAAAAAATTTGATATTATTTTTAAAGAAATCTGAAAAATGTGAGGTTTTTATTCAACTAAATTAGAAAACTTGAAATTTAAATAAAAGTGTATATTTAGTGTATCTGATTTTTTCGTTTAAACTTAAAGACTTCTCTAAAAAAAAGTAGAAAATAATTGTATTTTTTTTGTTTATATACCGTAAAAACCACTAATTCCGGATGGTTTAGGACTTAAATTATCATAACTAGCTCAATATAAAGAATTTAAAAAAAATTTTTTTAAATAAATAAACTTCATAACAAGACAAATCAAACGATATAAAAAATATTATTTTTATCCGGAATTAGGTGTTTATGTCCCTAATTCCGGATGCGTATAAAATACAGAAAAACACATACACAAATAATACTAACATTAAAATTATTATTTTAATTCATTAGAAAATGAAATTAATTAATAAAAAAAGAATATATATTATTATATAGACATTCGTTACAAATAAATTTCATGGTTGGATGATAATCAAAGACACATTCAATGCATGACCAATTTGAACACTGCTCACACGCAAGCCATTGGTTATCTTAGTTATTTGTCCAATTAATTTCGCAAGAATAACATAGAAGATCATCAGATACTAAAATGTTATTTGAAGTTTGAGGAAAATGAGGGTCTTCTAATTGATTCTTTGTCTTTATACCTTTTTTACCTGATATTTGAGACGACTGACTTTGTCTAAACTTTTTTTTTTTCTTCTCTTTTCTGTGCATTTTTCGCTTTTTGAGTAGCAGTGATTATATACTTTATTGTTCTCTAGTAAATTTACTAGTGGAAATCTTTTTTTGTTTTCTAGTAAATTTCTTTGCAGCTTGTTCATCTAATTTTTGTTTTTTTGATGCTTGTTCAGCTTGTTGAACAGCATTATTCAAAGTAGCAAAGCTTTTAAGCGAAAATTCACGACTTTACATTCTTGACGGTGTGTTTGGTGTATTGGTAGCATTTCCCATAACTAATGGACTAGATACTGATGAAGAATCAAATAAATTTTCAATATTGTTGTTTTCGACAGCTTGAAACACAGCACCAATGGAAGTTTTTTTAGAAGAAATTTGCGAACGATCGAGTTGAAATATACCAGTATTTTTGAAACCACTCCGTGCATTTTCAGGTTTAAACCCACCATTTTGGGTGAGATCCTTAAACATGGCCGGAAAATGTCGATTATTCCGGCTTTGAAAGAGATTTTTAGTCAAATAACTTTCGACAATTCTCTTCCATGCGCCTTTTACTGTTTTAAAAACGCTAACATAGTGGCTGTAAAAAATGACTGGTATGAGCCGGCAAACGCCAAAGTAAAATATAATTTTCTAAAGCTTTTTTTTTTTCAACTCTAAGCTCACATGTGAAGAATGGCCATCAAGTATTAGAACTTTAAATCCTGAAAGTTTGTTTGCGTGATGCAAAAAAACTGTTTCAAACCACGACAAAAAATGTTCGGATTCCATCCAGCCTGAACTACTGCTGTTATAATAAACATTCTGGGTACCGCCTTTGCACCAGTCTTTCATAACATGTTTGCCTTTATAAATTATTTGATGAGGTAAATAATTACCGAATACGTCACAACAAGTCAAGATTGTCGTCATTTGCTTTTCATTCGATGGTGCTAGCTTTTTAGGGTTTTTTGTTCCTTTTCTACAAATAATTTTGACTTTGCCTTGATCAAATTGCAAACCAGACTCATCACAGTTAAATATTTGAAATGGCTTATCGTCTAAATTATGTTCATTATATGCTACTGCTAGTTGCTCAAACCAATTGTCAATTATAACTGGTTGTGTGGCCACAGCTCTAATAGTTTGCATACCGCTTACTTTTCTTTACGATATTTATTCATGAAACCGGAGTACCATTTTCTAGTCGGTTTGCCGTCTTTGAATAAACTACGTTGGTTTGATTCTTTTAAATAGTTTTCAGCAACAATAAACACGTCTATTCAAGCCGAAGCCTATATCACTCATAAATTTTAATAAATCAACAATAATAGCTTCAGTGATATTGCTCATCTTTCTTGGCGCTCCTCGATTATTAGATGATCCTTTTGTTCTGTCAAAAAGTGTAGACTTTGCCACATTATAACACTTAGCAGCTTGTACGTATGACATTTTTTTTCAATAATAGCTTGAATAGCTAGCTGGATTCGACTCTCTCGCTCTTCTTTTTGTTTAAAATTATCCATATTCTTTAATACAGTAATACAATTAACACAAATGCGTTAACTTTATTAATTATCTTTTCCCTTGTGGCTATTTTATTTTTTATTACTTTAATGAACATAATATTTTTAATAATTATATTATGTGCATGAAAGTGATAAAAAAATAAAATAGCCAATTGTAATTAACTGTATCCGGGACTCAAAAGTGTATTTGTTTATTGCTGCTGGCTAATTTGTTTATTATTTTTTTAGGTACATAAAATAATAATTACTTCTATCCGGAATTAGGTGTCTTTTTTTTTGGCTGGCAGCAGATTTGTTTTTCATTTTTTTCAATTATTTCAAAAGGTAATTTAGTTTTTTTTTGGCTAAAATAATCAGTATAAAATTCTGCACAAAATGGTGCTTTTACTTTTTTTCCTTTTTTTGTTGCAAGTCAAAGTTTTTTTTTTCCTTTTTTTTGTTTTTTTAGTTATGAGAGATTTCAAATTGAAATCTTTCATGATTGCATTAGTTTATATATACTTTTTTTATATTTTTCGATTTGTCTCGTAAAGACGTTTATTAATTAAAAATAATTATTCATAAATTCATAATATTAAGGGAGTTATGAAACTTTTTACTAAAACCATCCGAAATTAGGTTACATCTTGAATTAGGGGTTTTTACGGTATCAGCTAAAAAAATGTTCCACCAAGTTCCACAAATATATATATATATTTTCCAGTTAATTTACATTTCTACTTTAGGAATGTAAAAGGATTACTGCGGTCTCCTGCGGTATTGGAAGTTATTAAAGAAAAACAAATGTTGATGATTTTATAAAAACCTTGCTTTCCGCCATTTTGCTAAGAACTTTATTATATCAAAACAATTGAAATTGGCGGGAAACTTAAAGTTAAGTTTTTTTGCTTGTAGAACTTGTTCTAATATAGTTTTTAAATCATAAATATTAAATATAGTTTTAAAAAACGTGCTTTTGTCATTATATACTATTTAAAAGTTTGTTAAAATATTTATTGACAATTTTAAAGAACGATTTATTATTCGATAGGGCCGGTGCGAGTAAGTGTCACGTGGGGGAGGGGGGGGGGGTGTCTTTACAACTTTTGCCGACTTAAAAAAAAAAAAAAAAAACTCGTTTTCCAAAATTTGCCGACTGCCATGACGACATTTGCCGACTGTCTAACCTATATCGAAAGGGTCGACATTTGCCGACTAAATAGTCTAAAGGGTCCAATTTGCCGACTAAAAAATCATTGATGGGGGGGGGGGGGAGGGATAGTGTCACACCCCCTATCGCGCCGGCCTTGAGTACAACATGTTTGAAAAAGCTTAATTAAACAACTTTGGTATTTCCCATTTCAAGAAATACCAAATTGTTACATCCTGTAATAACACATATTACTTAGTTAACTTTATATAACATGTAATTTAAAGTTAACTAAGTAATATGTGTTATTACAGGATGTTACAATGTGAAAATTGTTAAAAGTCATAACAAGATAAAATTTGAAACAGTGTAAAGTAAAAAAATATGAAATGTAATTTAAAATGTGTCTAATATATTAGTTTTATTATATTGATGGTTCTTAAAAACGATAACAATGAAAAGATTAGATCTTATACCAAATATACGTGAATTAGGAGTTGATAAATTAAAATTATGGAAGGATTTACTTAATGAAATCAAAAAACTTAAAAAATTCGCAAAGAAAACTTAAATAAAGTTAAGCTTGCTTTAGTTATATTTATTTCAAAGGTGAAGAAAAAAATAAAACAATGTGAACGAAACTATGATACATTTATACAAAAAAAAAATCGTTGGCTTCAAAGAAATCTTATAAACAATCAAAATAGCCATTTTGGTTCTGGAAGGCCCCATAAACAATTGAGTGTTCTTGGAGAGAGAAAAAAATTAAAAGAACTAGCCACTGAACATCATGAAGCTCTATTTTTAGCTTCTGCAAAAAGTGCAAATGCTGCTGGAGAAAAAAAAAAGCCTCTGTTTTAAAAAACAATATATCTAATGTTTTAGAGATAGAAAAAGTTGATAAAACTTTGGATAAGACCTTTCCCATTAACATGAGTGTAGAGGATGTTCTTGCATTAAAAATGAATACTGATATCAGCGATAAACAATATCAAATGATCAGAAACTCAGCTCTTGTACACAACGTACACATTTATCCTACCTTGCACGATATTTTCGTGGAAAAATTGAAATGCTATCCTGAGAATATACATTTTTTTGAAATTTCTGCAAAGTGTACTCTTCAAAGCATGTTAGATCACACTGTGAGTAGAATAACAGAAATGATTGATATGCCTAATTTTGGTCAAAGTGATGAAATATTTGGAGTATTATATGGAAAGATTGGTTTTGATGGAGCATCAAGCCAAAGTATTTATAAACAGAAATACGATACAAGCAACGCAGGTATAGAACTTAAGCATGAAGAAAATCTTTTCAGTACAACTTTTGTGCTTTTATTGCTCAAAGTAGAAGATGGCGAAAATTGAAAAAATGAAAATCCTTCAAGCTGTCACTTTTGTAGACCTTTTCATCTACAATATAAAAAAGAGAGTCCAATTTTATCCAGAGAAGAAGAATCAGATCTAAAAAATCAAATAAATACCGTAAAAACGTTTTGCAAAGTTTTTAATATTGCAGGAAGAATTTTGACATTTAATATCAGCTATAGGATTGATCTTACAATGTTTGATAATAAAGTAGTTAGCGCACTTACAGAGACAAAATCCACTCAATCCTGCAATGTATGCAATGCTAAACCCAAGGAAATGAACAATATTGATTTATTAAAAGCAAAAACTGAGAATGACTTGGCCTTATGGCTCGGAATTTCAGCTTTAGATTGCTGGATAAAATGCTTGGAGTTCATTCTTCATTTGAGTTATAAAATTGAAATTAAAAAGTATAAGCCAAAAACAATTGAGGAAAAACTATCTGTAGACTTAAAAAAAAAAGAGATTCAGGTACTCTTCAGAGAACGGTTAAGCCTATACGTTGATATGCCTAAAACTGGGTCTGGAAACACGAATGACGGCAACACTGCCAAAATAGCATTTAAAAATAGTGAAGTTTTTTCTAAAATTACTAAAGTTGATTGTGATATAATTAAAAGATTGCATAATACTCTCATAACCATATCTTGTGGATATCCTATTAATATCAATGAATTAGATTTATACTGCACTGAAACAGCTAAACGTATAGTGAGTTTATACAACTGGTATGTTATGCCTCCTACTGTACATAAACTGCTACTGCATAGTTCTTCTATATCAAATAAATTACCTTTGCCAATCGGGGTATATTTGGAAGATGCACTAGAGAGTTTAAATAAACAGATAAGAAATTCTAGACTTAAGCACACGGCAAAAATATCAAGGTTAAACACAATGATGAATCAGATGCACTACCTTCTAGTAAGATCAGATCCAAAAATATCAAGCATATCTTTTAAATAACATAAGAGCTATGGAGGGAAACCGTTACCAGATGAAGTTTTTAAATTAATTGTAATGTAAATAATAAATTTAATGTAAAAAAATACAGTTTTTTTTCTCTATGTATCAACAAACTTTAAAAACCATTTTTATAAAAATATCAAGTAGAGTAATATATCAAAATTATGTGTTTGTCTTGAAGATTCTAAAAACTAAAAAAAAAAATTTTTGTACGCATATAGTCACCTTTAACACGCGTAAGCGCGCATTTTACGCGTCAAAGCTGCGCGTTAAAAAAAAATTATTAACAAATTTGAAATCTTTGACTTAAAAATTATTATTTTAATATATAACATTATTTATTTACGATTTATGTCAATTTATATTTAATTTTTGTCGTTTTTTGATTGTCCTGAGTCACTGTGCACTGTTTTGATTTCCACATACTTTCTTTCGCGCTACTTTTTTTTCGTTGTCAACAATAAAAATGGCAGCAATAAGTTTACGCTGCATGTTTAACTAAAAGCAGTTATTACTTTTTTAGCATACTTTCTACTTTGAAACATGTAAAAATTTCTTCTGTGCATCAATATTAACATTTTTGTCTTTATATGTAAGATGCAGAGTTGTTAGTCCTTGGCCTTGCCTTGGCCAAAAATTAGGTCCTTGACCTTGGCCTAGCAACTCCTGGCCTTGGCATTGAATTTTTTTTAAACTTTCTGTTTATTTTAGCAAGTTCAATTTTTGCATTTAAAACAATAGAATTGTTTAAAAGTAATTACATGTTGTAATTCATTATTGTTTAACGTTATATAATACTATTTAGTTACTTACTGTTAGTTAGTTAAAAAAAAATAATGAAACTTCTTGTGACATTTTAAAGACAACAGAATGTATGAAAAATTTGTTTTTTCGAAATTTAACATTCGAACGATTTTAAAATTTTCATTCAGAATAAAATATTCATTCAAAGAAAAAGTTTTTATTTGAAAAGAATGAAATAACTATAAAAAAAATGAAATAACTATAAAAAAAAGTATATAAAGAATATAAATGTTATTATTAATCGTTGTGAAACGTTATAACTTTAACTTGTTCCAGAGTTTTAAATATGCTATTAATATAAAAGTAAGATTATTTTAAACCAAGAGCAGTTTTAATTTGATCAGAAGAATAATTTAAGGTACCAAGTATACCTTAAGGTACTTGAGAAATGAAAATTTGATCTTTATAGTTATAGTATATGTCAGATTCTTTGCTTGAAACATTAATGTTTCTTAAATGCAATAAAGACTTGTAGACTATAATAGTTTATTTGACAACTTATATTTAATGCTTAAAAATAATATTAACATTATATATTTTTAAATTTTTACGTATTTTTGTTTTTGGCTTTACTATATATCTATTTTCTAATATACTTTCTTATTGACAATATATACGCATAACCTTGATTTAATTTTGAAACATGCGGATGTTGTTTGCAGCTCAAAATTTAAATCTTACCCCGTAAAATACTTGGACGTGTCATCCTTGGCTTTGAAATTCTTGTCCTTGGAACTTGTGGCCTTGGCGTTGGATCATGTGGCCTTGTCGTTGGAACATGTGGCCTTGGCCTTGGAAAATGATTATGCTGATTTTTTTTTCGCGTAGCGAAAAAAAATCAGCATAATCATTTTCCAAGGCCACAAGTTCCAAGATCCAACGCCAAGGCCACAAGTTCCAAGGTCAAGGCCAAGGACAAGAATAATTGCCAAAAATGTTTAATCTGCGCATTAGACACCAGCAATTTCTGGGAATTTATCACTCCAAGCTGGAGTAATTACCTTATAAAAAAATAGAAATTTTGGCGAAAAAAAGTAACTTTTAAAGTTGAGTAGAAGCTATCTTATTTTAAAAATGAGCGTTAAAATTCCAACTTAAAAGATTTCTTATGAGTCGCCATTTTTATTGGATATATCGGGGTGTTTTCTCTGCTGGATAAACTGAAAGAACTAGAAAGGACTGTTTTGAAAAGCATGTTAAAGAAAACAAAAAATATATTTTTTGTACATCATTGATTCAATGATTATAAAAAATACATTTTCCAGTTATTCAATCGTGTTTTTTTAAAAATAGTCTTATACATTTTTTTAAGTTTTTTAGAGTTGACACCCTGTTTATTATGACATCCGGCCTTAAAAAAATGTAAACAATTCAAAAAGCAGAGTATCAAATTGTAAATTAAACCTTGCACAACCTACCCACTATCCCAAATTTGCTTTAGAGGTAATTAGATATGGAATATTAGATAAAGCAGCAGTCGCCGTAGCTAATGCTCTACTTCATTGATGGTGAAATAAAACTTTGTAAATCTACCAGCACTGTAGACCAATTGACATTCACAATTGAATCAGGTAAAGGCCAATGTTATCTCTTTTGTCTTGGTTTTTTTTTTTTTTTTAATTTTATTTTTTACTAATAAAAATGTTTTAATTTGACAATAGCGAGTTGCAAGGATAGGATTGAGAATGATTCGCAAAAAGTCAAAATGAATCCGACTGATTATGCTGATTTTTTTTCGCTGTAGCGAAAAAAAATCAGCATAATCACCAAAAATGTTTAATCTGCGCATGCTTATAGACAAAAAAATTTGCTTTGCGCGAATTTTTTGTCTTGCGGAAAACGGCCTTAATACTTAAAACAATTCTAGATAAACGTTAACTGTAAATTGAAAAAGTTAAATATTTTTACCTTTTCCAAATTTGTGCGTAAGAAAAATTGTATAGAAAGCAACTCTTTAGCTGACCCAAAAGAGATGTAACTAGCTGATGTCGGAAACATATTTTTATTGCAATTACCATTGTTTTGTATATCAGCTGTCCACCAGTTGCTACAATTGTTGAATACAAAACCGTTTGCATTCAACCGATCGGGTTCGCCAGCTTGAAAATAAAATTGAAATCGAATCAATGAACATTTCATAAATGCATAAAACACAATGAAATAGAGGATATAATAAAAGAGTTATGACTATGTTTATTCTTTGGCTCTTAAGGTTAGTGAGCCAAGCAAAATTAGAAGGGGAAAAAAAAAACTTTTTTTTATAGCATTTTTCATACTGCAAAGTATTCTTATTCATTTTTATTTTTAAATTTTTTTAAAAAGTAAAACTTGACACTTAAAATCATTTATTTCATAAATGACCATTTTATAATTAATTTTGTTGCAACATTGTATAATTAATTTTGTTGCTCTTATTTTCTCATAAGAGTGAACTTTTGTCGTAAAGTGCTTATGCAGGCAATTTCTTCATTGGTCGAGGATCTAAATACCATTGCTTGCTGCATAACAGCTTATTTCGCATAATTTTAAAGTTGCCATTGAAGTACCAACAATTTCTTAGAAAACAACTTATTTTAATCTTTTTAGACCATTGAAATTAAACAAAATTAAAATTGAATCAATTTTATAAATGCATAAAACATAATTAAAATTATTTAAATTTAATTTACAATTCTCACCAAAGTCTATTTATTTTTTTATAAATAACTAAACAAAATATTTTTTGTTAACAAATTATAAAAGAAAAATTTCATATTTTCTTTAATTTCTCAAAAGTAGCGCTAAATGTAGTCCCCTTATAATGTTTTTGTTATACTGTCTTAAATAACTATGATATATTGGACTATGTTTAAAGTCCAATATATTTTGATAAAAGCATTTAGCTTGTTACTCTGAGTAAGCATCAATGTTCTCCTTTAAAAACAAGTGAAAAATATGAAATAAAAATATGACATTAGTTTTGGTGTATTCTTTATGAGAATCTGAACCAACTCCACCTAGTTTCAATCTAGTGATTACCCAGAAGACTACGAATATTTGCAAAAAAACTGTTCCATGCTCCTCTCTCTGTCCTGTTCAGGACAGAGAGAGGAGCATGGAACAGTTCCATGCTGCTCTCTCTGTCCCTGTCCTGGGTGCACTTGTCACATTCTACGATACTATTGAACTGTGAACTAATGATAAAAGCTTTGGAAAAAGATCTCAAAAGAACTTAAAAGGTACTGACTCAATGTCAAGAACATTGAAAAGATGTTTGATGAAACATAATTTGACATGTAGTGGTGGCATAAACACTTTCTTAGGTTCTATCAGCAGCTCCCTACGTTATTCAGTCATGTTCAGATTTATTCAACTCCCACTTTGTTCAGTCACTTTCTTATACAGGATCTTGTTAAAACTTATTCAGTAAAATTCTAAACTTATTTCAATATATTATAAATTTGTAACACAATGTGTTGGCTAAATATTAATGTCAAATATTTAATAATAAATGCAATTTATTCAAGATTTTTATTAGTCCTTATAATTAAGAAACTAATTTGCTATGTATGCTAGAACTATGAAAAATTTTTTTTTACCTTTATTCGTTTTTTACATCTTATTGCTTTTAAATATGTTTTTGTTATACTTGACATTTAATATTAATATTTTTGTTATACTTGACATTTAATATTGACATTACTAAAAATCTTTTTGTGGAAAGCTTAAATAAATCTTGAAAGAATAACTTTGGAAGCTATTCCAAGATCTACACCAAAAGTTACCAGTGCACTTCTTTTACAATGCTCACCAACATGTCATACATGTCAGTAAGCATCATGATCATCAAGGCTGTGGAGTCGGAGTCGGAGTTGCAACATTTTTAGCGGAGTCAGAGTCGGAATTGCTAAACCAAAACGCAACTACGACTCCAATAGTAAACCTTCTCTGTATTGTATTTTACAAACAAAAAAAAAATCTACAAGTTTTAGTAAACTTTTCACAAACAGACAAAAAAAAAATTAATAACAAAAAAAAGTTTTACTTAAAAAAGTTTAAGGTTTTTAAAAAAGTTTTGCTGAAAATATTGTAAAAAACATGATTGTTATTTATAATACTTTACTAAAAAAATTTTACTAAAGAAAGTTATACGTTTTTATTAAATTAAATAAGTTTTGCTAAAAATATTGTAAAAAATAAATAAAAAATAATAATTTTTTTTAATCAATTTCTAAAAGGTTAACAAGTTTAACAATTGACCAATCACTTTTGTTAAGAATCTTTGGTTTACCTCATGATTTTTATTTAAGTCAAGCATAGCGTCAATTGGATTGGTTTTAAAATGTTTTCTTTGCTGTTTCATAAGCAACTATTGTTTTGAACAATTCTGAACGCTCATTCCACAAATTTTTTCTTGCCTTTTATTTTTGATATATTTTATTACATTTATACTTCTGAATAACATCATCCTGTTTAACTTTAGTGCAGTGGTTCTAAAGGATGGTTCTTGCATTATCCATGAATATACCTTAAATTTACCTAATTTTATAAGGTACTTAGTAAACTTGAAGAGCTTAGTTAAACCCTTATTTGGAATTTAGAAAATAAGGAGTAAATTTTGTAAATACGAAAAATTTAGTAAAAAAATTTCATTAAAAACACATTTTATAGTACAAGATTTTAGGTGATCTGTATTGTTTTTTTTTCTCGTAAAATTCTTTTTGTGTTTGTTTTTATGAACATGACTTTAATACACTTCAATATTACTAAAAGATTGGATAAAACTTGACACTAGAGACCCTCTAATTTACAAAACTTAAAACAAAGTTAAATTTAAAATTAAAAACAAAGTTAAAATTAAAACCTAATAAACTTTTTGTTTTGAACAAGGTACTGCTTAAATAAATCCATGAAATTTTAATGGTTTTAACTTTTAAACTTCTATCAACCATTTTCCTTGCTCTTTAACGCTTTTTTGTTTTTTAGTAACTACTAACTTAATAGTGGTTGCTTGCAGCTTTTTTGGGAGTGCATTAAATTTTATCACGGACAGATACATGAATAGTTTTTAAAATTATTTCTAGTTTTTAGTTTGTTATTTTTTTGGTTCTATGGCACAGAACACATGTATATATTTGCTAGATACTCCTAATTTAATTTTATAAAACTTCACAAAAAATTTTCAAAAGAACCAAGATATAATTTCAAGAACATGTTCTCATTAAACAATGTTTTTGGAAAAAAAACATAAAAAAAACACAACAACAAAAAATCAATAAGCAATAAAACAAATACCATAAAAAAGACAAAAAAAAAAAAATGCTTAAACAATTCAAATATTCATCATTTTTTAAAACATTTTTTAACTACTAAAAATATTAAAAACAACAATAAAAAACTTACAGCCTCTTGGATTATACTTTTCATATCGAAAGATATATTTCTCTTCACTTGAGCCAATTGTAACATTATAATACCTTGTACTAAATGTTATACCTTCTTTGAAAGCATAATCAATTCTCATATCTGTAAAAAAAGTGCTTGTAATTTGATTAAGGTTTTTTAAGCCAATCCATTGTTGATTTACCAAACCAAAACCATTTTCATAAGCCTCAAAGCTTTTATCCCAAAAAGTCGATTCCCAGCTGGCAAATCTTGTCATCATTGGAATCCAGACTCCTAAATAAAAATCATAAAAAAGGTTAACTATCAATAAGTTGTCCAATAAGTCAAAATAAAAATAGAAATTTAAATCTAAATTATCGAAAGGAAATTTAAACTGCTTAAAATAAAAATAACTTCTTTTAGTAAGAAATCATAAGTCAAACATTAAAACTTATTACTCTCTGGTTTTAAGAAGTTAAAAACTTAGAAAGTTTGACTCTAGAAACATTTCTTTCAGACTACAACCTAATTCTAATAAACACAATCATCATGACATAACAACCGGTTAATTCTATAAATATTATAACACCAAATACTTCATTTGCAGAGAAATAGTGAAATAATTTAGTTATAAAATGAAATGTTTAACAAAAAAAAAAAAAATTAATGAGAAATATCTTTACATAGTGTTAACAACAAATTAATTTTTTTACCATTACTTCCACTTATGACTTTGAAATCTTTAATGGAGCCATCTTGTGCATCATACCAAGGATCTGCAGTATAGACTTTCAAATTTTCAAAAGATTGTGGTTTTGTGTTTTCAATGCTATGAACTTTTATATCATTTAAATACACTGAAAATACATACTTTCCGAGTATTCGGAATTGTAAAATTTTTATACTTGTCCACTCATTCAGAGGTAGTGGCTGGGTGATGAAATAATAATTGCTATTTCCGCTAACTGCTGAAGTAATGTATAATCTACCTGAGCTATCACCATGAAAAAATATAGCTGGGGTTCTATCACCATAATTAACTAAATCTTTTCCAATGGTTAAATGAATAACACTCTTCCATCCAGGTGAATATGATCTGGGTTTAATTTTAAATGAAACTGAGTATTCCTCGTCCAAGTATGACAAAAATGCAATTAAATTATTTTTTTTTATCACTGACTCACTGACCTCATCTACGAAATCTAAATAAAATGTTATAATCTATAAACATACAAAGATATGTATATATACAGTCCCTATCCAAATTATTAGATACACTATGTAGCTTTTTATAGTTTTTTTGTAGTTTTAATTGTAGTTTCTTAATTACTACTTAATTTGCATGAGTTTATATTCAATACATTTATATTTGAACATAGGTGAAATAGATTTTTAATCAGGAGATTTTTTATATACTTTAAATTTGTATTTATTTTAAAATTTTAATTTGTATTTTTAATTTTAAGTTTGTATTGTGGAATGTATGAAATCATTTTCAAATGTAGAACACAATACAGTCTTGTATTGATACCATACCACACAGAATTAAATTTGTAATTGCGGCTAAATTTGACTTGCGAAAAGTGTTCTTGATTAAAAATGCACAAGATGAAAACCATGAGAATGAGACAACTTAAAATCATGAGAATAAGGCTTGACTTAAATCCAATGAGAAGCTTTCATGCCTGTCTTGATCCAGGAGATTATGTAGGAGGTGCATATATTAGGAGATAGACATCAGGCTAACGAATATCACAAAGAAAATCATAAAAAGAATCCCAGTCAGCTTTTCAGTAAAAGTAAGTAGTGTGACGGTAGGGTGAGTCTGAAAATAAGTACGAGATATAAAATTTAGAGAGATCAATGCTTGGTCCAAATCACCTAAAGGACTACAAGAAGAAAATTAAAGGAGTAATGGAATGTAAACTATGATCGAGACAAGATGTAAATCAAGAAGTGAAGATAAGTTATTAGTGTTGTCTGGAAAATGAACTACAAAGTTATTTATCTGAGTAAGAGATTGAGAAATACAGATGTTATAAGCATTAGTCCCAGCAGGATCAGTTGTGTTAAAGCCAAACCATTTAGTGTAATGAACATTTAACTCACAAATAAAAACAATAATGGCTGATGGACTAAAGGAAATGACCTAATCAATTTGATCAGAAATGACATCGAAAAGAATGTTGAATTTAGAAGATTGAGAACAATAATGAACAAAGAAAAAAAGGGCAGGATGAGAACAATAATGAACAAAGATAAAAAGGGCAGGATGAAGATATTTTAGATAGAAACACATAAAAGAATGATCAGAGGATTTAAACTTGAATTCACTACAAATAAGTGAATTGATATGTAAGTTTACGTCTAGACCAAGCATGCGACTATTGGAGTTGATATGCAAGTTTATGTCTAGACCAAGCATGTGACTATTGGAGTTGATATGTAAGTTTATGTCTAGACCAAGCATGTGACTATTAGAGCTTTTTGCAAATCAAAGAATAATAGCCAGCAACACTGATATCCAAAGATGAAACTGTCGAAATCAATTTTATCTTAAAATAAGTAAATCTGGTGAATTTTACAAGAGTAAAATTCACCATATTTTAAAGTTACTTCAAAGACCATAAGTTTTTTAAGTAACTTTACACTGAAAAAATTTGGTGGTTGTAATGGTTTTTATATTTAATATTTTTGGGTACATCAATAATGTTTTAAGTTAATTAGAGGATTTGAGTTTATTTAATTTTAAATTTAATAAAAATAAAGTAATTTAAATAAAACTTTTTAAATTAGTTTAGTAAAATCTACAAAACTAGTTTTTTTGTGTTTTTAGAAATGTGTTTAAATAACATTTATCAGTAGTACCTATTTGACTAAAACATCATTTTAAGCTGTTAGTAAATTAATGAAAAAATGAATTCAGCATCTATTTTTTGTCTAGTGGTTTGGCAGTAGAATGGTGGTTTTTTAGGCGAAAAATTAAACTAATTTTGTTTTAAAAACATTTGTCTAAAAAAAGCTAATAAAAGTTTTGATTATTTATGTAATTTTTTTTATTTAGGATTTGTTTATGAAAAACTTGCATGTCCCTGAGCTCTCATCATAAGGTCAAGATATCCACATTTGAAAAAAATTTAAGTTTTAATTAGGCCTAAGCTTATTTCTCTGCCATCATCCTTTTTTCTTTACTGGTTGGAGTTGGAAAGTCAAGAGAAAGTTGTAACAACAAATAAAAAAAAGTATGTTCTTTGACTGTAGTGCCCTCAAAGAGGACATTCATAAACTATGTCAATTATTTGAGGGCATTCATAAACTATGTCATTCATAGTTTATGAATGCCCTCAAAGAGGACATTCATAAATTTCGACCATTTCACATAATTTTCGACCATTTCTAACCTCCTCTTTTACTCCTTGTCATAACATTGTAACTCTTAAGTAAAAGGTTTCGTACGAGTTGTCTTAATACAGAAAAGTGTTTGAAAATAAAAGAAAGCATAAAAAGACATTTCAAGATGGCTCAATATAAAATTAAATAAAAAATAGCAGGATTAAATAAAAAATCTACATGAGTAAATTTGCTAATAAAATTTTTCTTGTTGGTAAGTTTAAACTAAAATTGAATAAAAATAAATAAAATTTTATTAAAAAATAATTAAAAGACATAACTACAACAAAAGTAATAAATGTTATAATATACTTTATACACTTTATATAAACACTTACTAAAGTTTAAAATTGAAATAGAAAAAAAAAAACTTTTATTTTAAAATAAAACTAACCAACAAATCCATTAACAATTTTGAGATTTTTAATATAACCATCAAATACATCAGACCAAGGATCAGATGCATAAACTTTGACATCTTTAAAAATCCGTGGCTGATAATTTATATCATTTCGGATAATTTGGTCATTTAGGTAAACAGTGTATGTATAAATTCCATCTAATTCAGTTTGTGATATAAGTAGACTTGACCATGCATTTAGTGATAGCGGTTGGGTAATAAAAGCATAATCAATATCTCCATTAACTGCAAAAGAAATGTATAATCTTGAATTTGGGTCAAACCATACACCAGGAATTCTATCTCCATAATAATTACCATTACTGTTAATAGTCAAATGAATAATATTACACATCAAACCTCTATTTGACATTGGTTTTAGCATAAAAGAAATTGAAAACGTCTTATCCAAATAAGATAATGTTGTAATTAAGTTCGATTTTTGTATCACTTGCTCATTGACTTCTACAAAATTTAATAAAATGAACATTTATAAAGGGATAATAAAAAAATAATAACAGCATTTAAATATAAACATAAAACATCAGTTAGACTAAGTATGTATTAATATATTCTGTTAAAAATTATTTCAAATACACAGATAATTCAACTCCTAGTTATACAGAGATATTTCAACTAATTGTTGGAGCTATTTTTGGAGATGTTAGAAGTTGCTGTACTGCAAAGATAAACTAATTTTTAGTTTAATTTTGAACGTGTTGCATCAGACAGGTTTCTCAGTTTTTAAAAATTATGTTGATTCTTTTTCATATGCACAAACACACCTTGCCATTGACTAGTTTTGACATACCTACCATAAATATACATGTATTCATAAGATACACACCCATGTTATAATTTTATGTAATGTAAAAGTATGGAAATATATAATATTAAATAAAATTAATAAATATTTAAATATAAACTAAACATTTATAAACAATTAAAATAGAAAACTTTAAACAATTAACAATTTTTAATGTTTAAAATGACATCTAAAATAAATATATAAAAATTACACAAAGATGTAATCTTTGTGTAATTTTTATATATTTATTTTAGATGTCATTTTTTGATGGGATAGTGTATATATTTATTTTAGTGTAATTTTTGATGGGATAGCTTATCGGTAGGATGTAAACAAAGATGCCAAAATAACATAGGTACAACGATTTAAATATAATAATGTCTATAATTCTCTGAACTTCTTTGAGTTAAATAATTACTACTTTTTAGTCTGTTTAATGTTTTTTTTTTACCCCAATAGTTCCGTGTGAAATTGTTAACATCGCTATCCTAAACCAATTTTAAAAATCTATTCTTCCAATATAAAATACATGCAAAATATTATAAATATAATATATAATAAATAATAATATATTATACAGGCAAAAATATTATTTAATAAATACAATTTTCTTTCAAACAACAACGTAAGCGTAGTTGTGTAGATTATGCTTCCGACTAGTAAGCCGAGGTTTCCAGGTTCCCTTCGTGGTACAAGATTACCTTTTTTTTTAGTTAGTGCACAAAGATTGTTTTATTGTTGCTGCACACTCTATTGTTGCAATCAACATGTAGATACATCAACTGAGGGTTTTGGTTCGGCCAGATACTCTTTTAATTAAAAAAAAGTCTTCTTTAAAAAAAAAAAATGTTGCATCACAAAATAGAGACCCCTCCCCCTCGTAACAAATCGTCACAAAATCGCCTAACTCCTCCCCACCTAAATGTGAGGTAATTTATGGATGACCCCTTAGACAATAAATGCAAATAAAAACGTCTATAAACATATTTTTCATAATATTAGATTTTGCTGGGAACTTTTAAAATCTCTCAACAGTCCAAGGCATCCTCTAAACATAATACCTTACAAATTCCCCAATGAGTATACTTTAATGATAATATTGGCTCTACGTTAGAGTTATTTTATATGATTTTATGTTATTTTGATTTCTAATTATTAAAACTTGGCGTTTTAAAATCAATTTAAAAGTCATTAATCGGACAAGCCTCAGGAACATTAGCTTGGTTCTCAATTTTATATTTTTAATTTATTTACTGTCAAAAGATGCTGTGACAGTTTTATATATGATTAGGTGATAACTGGTCAGGCTAAAAAAACTATTCAAATTTTATGACAGTCAGATAGTAATAAAAGATTGCTCATTTCAGCTTCTAAAAAAGTTTGTCTTTTTTTTCTTCTCAACAATATCTTTCTGAGTTGATTAATTTTAATGTTTCCTATATAAAATTTATTAAAAATTTCTGAAGTTGTCAGTTATAAAATTAAAATTATATTTTTTTAATAATTTTTACTTTTTTTATTTTGCTTATAAAAAAATCTTATATAATTGAATATTATAAATAAAAATTTATACAATTTTCAATAATACTTCAGTTTAAATCATTAGCTACTTTATTTAAAAGCATTTTGCTAATATAAAAACATTAGTATAGATAAATGTATCGAAATTTTTAACATAATTAAAAACCAATTTTATAAGCGCATTTGTTAAAAACTGTGGTTAAATTGTCAAAACAAAAGATTAATTGCTTGGTCATATAAAGACTTGAAATTGCACGCCTTACTGGCCTGGCCTATATATATATATATATATATATATATATATATATATATATATATATATATATATATATATATATATATATATATATATATATATATATATATATATATATATATATATATATATATATATATATATATATATATATATATATATATATATATATATATATATATATATATATATATTGAAATTTTATAAAAAAATTTTAATAACAATAAAAATTTACATAATATTTATTATTATAAGACTATTGCATAAAAATTATTCTTTAGCAAAAAATTAAAAAAAGCCATTTTTTCATGGTTTTTGGTCAAATTTTTTTTTTAAGGTATTCTGAACAAAAAGTCATATTTATTTTTGAAATTTTTATAAAGTTTCGCTTCTTTTGAGACCCAACATGACATACATTTGAAAAACTTTTTTTTCTTCTGTTTAGGGTCTCGTTGCAAGTTTCAGATTTGAGGTGGCCCCCCTAAATCTCATTCAATTTTGAAAAAATTTAACAGAGTGTCTTGTGAGTATCAATAGAAAGTTTTTAGAATAAGGACAGATCAATTTTTAAAAGTATGGGGCGTTTGATGCACCCTAGCGTAGGGTCCTTTTCTTATATTTTTTCCTCATTTATTTCACTTCAGCGCTGCATTGATTGAACAGCGCTAAAAATAAAATAAAATACTGTCTGCAACATTTATTGAAAATGAATATGAAATCAACACAAAATTAAAAGTGGTTTCACAACGACATGGCAAACTAAACTCTGATTTCCAAGAATTATATATTTTTATATTATTTTAATCAGCATATATTAATTAATTATCATTAAGAATTTTATATTTGATTTATCTAAATCTCAATTTATCATTGCCGCTCTCATTTTAAGAGCATTCTTTTGAATATATATTTCTTTTTCACTGGTGGGCATTGAAAAGCTGTTTTTATAGTAATATAGCACAATTTATGTTCAATGAAAATCTCTGCGGAAGAGAGCCAATGATCTTCTTTTAATTATTTTTTGAATTCTGCCTGACGTCCTCTATGGACAAACTCTTACACCATCACATAATAAATTGTATCATCAAAAGATATATTTTAAAAATAGAAAAAAAGAATTGAAACTTTTTTCGAAAATGGTAAACACAAGTTCGTAAGATTGATATTATACTTTTATTGCGAGTCTAATTTAATAACTAATAATAATTATAAATAAATCGCATAGCGAAGTAAAGTTACAACTACAAAGTCTCAGCAAAACAACCACAAGTATTTAATTACATAAGAATTTTGATCGCAAGCGATTGAATGCAATCTTTGCAACCAAGAATACCAACAATTATTTTTTCATTCATAGTCATAAAATGTTATTATGACCGAAAAAAATTAAATTTATGCTGTAACAGAAAATAAAAATGTTTGTATCAACAAATAAAACGCACAAAAGATTCCTTTTTTTTTTCCTAATTTTTATTCTTAAATCACGATTGCTTGTCCAAATATAAGATTATAAACACGTTGTTTAGGTGAAATGAACTTAGGGTTACCAGATGTACTCTTTTAACAAAAGAGCGCGCACTAAAATATGTTTTTGCTCCTAGTTGTCAATGACATTAAGTTCTTAATTTTTACGTTAGCCGTGATTAAATTCTAGTATGATTGACTATCATGTAATTTATCAAATTCTCCTATGCAGGCTTGGTCGGGAAGCAGGAGCGATTGCTCTCGAATACTGACCACGGAAATAATATTTAGTTGCGAAAAACTGGCCAGGTTTTTTAGTCGTTTTGAGAACATTTAAGTTTATGTATGTAACAAATTGTAAACAAAATTTTATTTTACGGACATACATGGAAACATACATAAACTTAAATGTTCTCAAAACATCTTGGTGCGGAACAATAAAAAGAATATTAGCGAACAATAAATACCCGCCAATGAACAAACTAATTCTATCGGTTCAAAAAATATGCTTACTAAGCGAAATAAAGTTCTTGAGTAATCTGTTAAAATGTTTTAAAAATTGTATTATTTACGATTTCTTGCGTTTTGAGATTTCTTGCGTTTTGAGATTTCTAGCATAATTTGTTTAAAAAATATATTATCAAACAAACTTTGATTTTATGGCTCATTTTTAGAGCCATATCTTAAAAAATAAATGTTTTATAATATATATTTTTTAAATTGTCAAAATTTTGAAAGTTTATTATAAATTATAGATTTTATGAGTATATTCTTACGTTTTTATTTAAAAAGTATGTATTTTTTATGTAAATGTAATTTTGTGTATCTGTTTTTTATTCTAATGTAATCTTTTAAAGCCATTTTTATGATTTACTATGTAAACAAAGACTTTCAACAATAATTGCATTTTCAATGAAGTTATTAATAATCGTCAAAGTTAATAAAACTAATTATGAAATAAACATATAAGAAGTTTCTGGTTACTAAACACAAACATGCATCCAAAGTAACTCGCAAATGAACAAGCACAGCGGCTGAGGTTACGACAGAATACAAATATATATAGAAAGTTATTAGATATAAAGAAAAGTTTTTAGATATTGGTTAACTAACTCTAACTATTTTCACTTCAGTTGCCATTCTTAAAATACTTCTTCTCATACTTTTTCTGCTTTAAATACTTATTTAAATTAAAAAGCCCACTTACTAAACATCATCAGAGATATTGTAAAGCAGTTTTGCCTCCTCGTCATAAAGTATTTTTAACCTTTTTATTTGATTTCGATCTAGTCAATTTAATTTCTATACTAATTCAATGATTTAATTATTTCATTTGTTCATCTTACCAAGAAAAATTGTTTCACATATGTTAAACTTTTTTAACTACGCAAAGCATAAAGTAGTTGTTAAAAAAAT